AGAAAGAACAAAATTGAGACTGGTTTTGTAACTGCCAAACTTGCGGCGGGAGGAATTTCAGAAAAAGGTTCTTTTATTTGTTAAAGAATTTCTTTAAAGGTTTCTGTAAATCCTCAACCATGGGGAACTGGTCCTCTAAGGAATAAGAGCAATGTTTTAAGCTAGTTCAGTAGCTTTTTAGGGCTGCTGAATGTCTCCCTGATAAGGGATCTTTAGACTTAGTTATTAGTTATTTAGGAAAAAGTTGGGCAGAAGTTGAAATAACACCAGGTGGTATAGGATAAGATTGTAAGGTTAGTGTCTAACTCTTTCTTTTAGAGGATTTAATTTGAAAACACTGGTTTGCTTGAGTTTTGTTTGTTGAAAAGAACAGCTCAGTCTCAAAATATTTTGCTAAACCTCCAGTAAATAAAGATCTCTAATGTTGTTATATCATAAGGATTCTACTTAGAAAAAAATTTAAATTGATTGTTTAAAGAAGGAAAAAGGAAAAAGATCTCACTTCCCTCAGACAGTAAAAAAGAGTGGGAAGAAAAACAATGGGAAAATCTTTAACCACGCTGGATCATCCTTCTGAAGGCCCAGGGACTGCTTCGGTCCTCAGAACAAGTTGTGCCAAGATTAGTATCCTCCCTCCCTCTTCTCCAGCCTCCCTAAAGTTGTCAAGGGCACTGGATAGTGAGACAGCTCACTTTTGAGCACACTCCAGGAATGCAGTAATCAAAAAGAATTAACAACAACAACAGAAAGGTAAATGTATTTGCCAGTGGAGAAAAAACTGTTTCTGAAAGTTATGAATGTGTTTATAAATTTGTCAATCTAAAGCATGCTTTAAGTGGGATGAGGGGTGTGACATGTTAAAGAAATATTAAGGATCCTCCTTGTTTATGTTGGAGCCATGACCCTTTATTGTAAAACTGAAATAAAGGTATACTGTTTCCTGGGAAGAACCAGCCCTTCTCGGTAGAAGACTAAGTGCCATTTTTTAACAAAGTACCTGTAAACATTGATCATTTCCTTGGGGAAGAACTGGCTATTCTCTAGGAGGGAACAGTTAGTGAATTGAGTCACAAAAGGCCCTTGGCACATATCCATTTTGGTCTAAAACATATTTAAGCAGAGCACCCCCATACATCTTTCCCACTTTCCTTGAAAACTCTGAACATAGGAACTACCAGGTCCTGAGAACAATAGGGCAATTAACTTGCTGCTTAAACTCACTACAGCATACAGAAACAGCAGTCTTTCCAATCTAAGCAATTAAAGACTGTCCTGATTGCTAAACCCTTAGCAAGGCACCCCCATTTACAGGAGTTAATCCTCAAGGACTAAGTTTTCCAATAATTTGGCAAACAGATGTCACTCATTACTCTCCCTTTGGAAAATTCAAATACATTCACATTTCTATTGATACTTACTCTGTTGCCCTACATGCATTTGCTTTCACAGCAGAATCTGCTGAAAACATACAAGCCCATTGTCTTGAGGCCTTTAGTCATTTAGGATGGCCTCAGCAAATTAAAACTGAAAATGGCCCTGTATACCTTGCCCATTCTAATAAGATTTTTCCTCAGTGCTGGAATGTCCAACATAAAGCAGGAATACCTTACAATCCAACCAGTCAGGCAATTGTAGAACAGGCTCATCATAATTTTAGAAATCTTCTTTAAAAACATAAAAAGGGGAGTCATGAGTCCTTCCCCCCCAAATTTGATTATGCTAGCCCTGTTTACCTATACTTTTCTAAATTGTGTTGAATCACTCTGTACTTCAATTAAGAAACATTTTCAGAAGAAAGAGCCAAAGTCAGCTTATCTTCAGGTTTTATATAGAGATCTGCTGGCAGATGGCTCTTGGGGAGGCCCTGTAGACCTCTTAACTTGGGGAAGAGGGTATGTGTGTTTCCATTCCTACAGGTCCTGTCTGGGTACCAGCCAAAAGAGTAAAGCCTTATCATGAGTGGGACAGACACCAAGCACCACTACCTGGAGCAAAGAACCAACTGACTGACAGACTACATAGCCAAGCTGACCCTGAACAACTAGAAGGAAAAAGGACACTCACACCGTTACTCCTGGGCCTGGGTCCACCAATGGAGGAGGATGGGGCCTGCCCCAATGACAGGGGCTGAGGCTCAAGCACCTCCTGCAGAGGGAGAAAACCCCCTGGTGCCCCATAATGTTCCCTTTAGGCATGTCCCCAACACGGGGGGGTGGGGGATCAAGGCTCTTAATGCTTGAGCAAAGGCCTTATCAAACAAAAAGTGTTTCAGGCCCTCAACGATAATCTACAATGGCTGAATTGTAGATTTAGGTTCAAACTACATTGAACCTAAAAACTGGTTCAATAGACTGAATTTACGAGTTTGGGTCATGGCAGCCCTTGGATGCCTCCTTGTTTTAATCCTTATTTGTGCTTAATGATGTATATGGAGGTTTTCTTGAGATCACATTTGGGAAAAGAAAATAGTAGGTTCCACAGGCTTAACAAGTACAATTGCGTTCACAAACAAAAATGGGGGATATCAGATATTGGGAACTGCTTTGCCTGGTTTCAGAAGCTATAACCTCCTATGGCTAAGGTTGAGTGAGAGACCTTGAGACCCTATGCCACTGAGGAGACCAGGCTTATATCTCTCTGGCCGGAGCACCATCTCTGCCCACTTTACTTCACCCTGCCTGGCCCCCAGTGCATGATCGGTTAGGCAGTGACAGGTAAGATTCCTCAAGGGAGAGATGACCTAAGACAGGCATGATCACAAGGGGGCCCTCAGGGAAGGACTTGGGGGGCTATAAAAAAGGGGGTGATGGACCCTTGCCCCTTGGCTTTGACATAGCCTGAGTTTTCATTCTGTCTGCAGTAAGTCTCCAAATCTCTTGGCTGCCTTACTTCCCCTGCCTGACTTAAGCCTGAAACAATGCTGGAGGTGGGTGCGGCCCTGTGCTGGAAAGGCTAGGTTCCCTGGGGCAATCATGCCTAAGAGATAAAGCATAAAATCCTATGAAACCTACTTTGCTAATACCCTCAGTTTAAATAAGGGCCCAAGCCTGAAATGCGTTTGTTTCCCCAGAATTTTATGGCCGTTTAGCTATCTGACCCTGACTCAAAATAGGCCCTTGGAGTTCTTTGAAAGTTACGTATTTGATTTCTGCCTGACAATGATCGATGGGCTTAATCTGAGAATGTGGGTCTTTGGAACCACTGGTTGCTTACAGATTATAACAATGCTCTGTGTACTTTGATGTATTTGCGAATCGTTTTCACAGGGCTGTGCGACAGACAAGCAAGCAGCAAGCTTTGTGGGATCTATAGTGGTTCTAACTAAAAATAAGGTGGGAACTATAGGAGACCATTCTGTGTGGCATAGGCCCAGACAGGACCCACACCCATAGATAGGTTCTCCCCTGGGGAATCAGGTCTGCATTGTACCTAGGCCGCTTTGAAACTTGCTTTTTGCTAAAACTCCCTCATCCTGAATTGGGGCTGCAAACATTTACTGCATATCTTTGAAGTAACTTCCTAAAATCTATGCTAAACCTTCCAAGGATGAGTGTAATCAGTTAAACAACTTTTCCCTTTGCATCTGCAAATATCCTTCTACTGTGATGTGATTAGTGGCATCCTCTCCTTTGTTTTCTGTAAAAGATAACACCTAAAATGAACCTGTGCATAGTAAATGAAGACCATTCTCAATGTAATGTGCCCAAAAAAGCACTAAAAGTCTGTCAAGGCAAGGGTCAGCGTGCTCTCCTCTTAAGAGAGTGGCTGTGCGATCTCTTTTCTTCCACAGGACTCAGAAGCCTGTGTGAATTTGTCTCATATCTCACTCACAATGCCAGGAACCCCATGAGCTAGGGGCTCACATCAGAGGAAGACCAGTGGAAAAGCTTCTGCAATAATCAAGGTGAGATAACTGCTTAGAATAGGTTGACAGCAGGCATAGAGAAAAGCAGATAGATCTGAGTGAAATTTAAAATGTAAAGGAAGGAATAAGGGGTTCCAGGTATATGACGCTATTGAATTTTTTTGGCAAGTCTAGAGAGTAAGCTTTTAAATCTGTTTTAGGTTTAGGTCACACTGACATACCAAAAAGGGATGTTAAGGAGGTAACTGCATATGTGAATGTGAAGCTAAGAGAAGAGGTCTGGATCATAGTTCATTTCATACAGGAAAATGAGGATGGTGGGCAGAGTCTCAAGCAGCCATCAAGCTTAGGCAGTACACATCAAGGACCAAGATGTATATGCAAAGCGTGTGTTATGTATAACATAGGCAATATAGAGAAAAACACTGAGAATAAAGGACAGATAAAGTGAGATAGGTCAGTTTTCTTGTTTTCCATCTGTATGTGAAAAACTGCTAAAGAAAATTACAGACATAGGTATCAAGATATGCTATTGCTGCCTTTCAGCTCTATTAATATTTCAAAATATAGATTTATCTGATAAAGTTCCTAAATTAGGTATTCAGCTGATATTAAGTCATAAAGCAATTTTCTTATAAAGATATTCAGAAGCAAAAAAGCCACACAGATCCTTTCCCTTTAAAATGATTTTTGGTATTTTCACTTTACCTTCTAAATAAATTAACTCAACTTCATAATTTCCATATTTTTGCATTACTTGGAAAAATATAAAAAATATTACTCTCAAATAATGTAGTATTGTATTAACCAAATATCTAATAGGAGGGCCACTTGTTTAAATGATAGCTAAAAAATTAAAACCTGAAATCAAGTTAACATTTGAGTGGTGTGAATATGGTACACTAAATTTTTAACTTTACTGACTTTTTTAAGTGTTAATACAAATCAAACACCAAATAAAGTTCTTACTGAGAAAAAGGAAGAAAATCCCATGCAGTGTTTGTTAGAGGACAAACAATTTTATACTTGTTTTATAGTTTTTGTTCACTTTGAATAACTGGGGTCCTAGATTTACGCTTTGGTTTTAACTAGCTGTTGAAATGCATTTTAATCTCTTATTTCAGTTGTTACATACCAGTGAGCAATGTCCTTGTGAGCTACTAAATTTTGAAGAAATGCCTGTAATCCTAATTGTCTATCTTCTAAAAAGTCGGCATTGTAATTATCTTTAAACCAGCGTTTTGGTGGAAGTGCTAATCGAAAGCCTGGAAACATCTCTTTTAACTGAAAAAGAAAAAACAATATACATTGTTAAACTCCATTATATCAATTCTACAAAATCTATCCTGTTGACTAGGTACAATGTTCATAAAATAAGCTTAAAATCAAATCAAATCCAGCCAAGTTTTTTATGCCTTGATTTACTTCTTGACTTCTCCCAGCTGTGTATACATAGGAGCTACAGTGGCTCCTCCTCCTTGACAACACTTACATTGTCAGCGTTTTTAATACTAGCCATTCTAGTGGGTGTGTAGTAGTGTTTTACTGTGGCTTTAATTTGCATGTCTCTGTTGACCCAATGATATTAACTATCTTCTCATGTGCTTATTTGGATCTGCATATCTTCTTTGGTGAATTATCTATTCAAATCTTCTGACCTCTCATATTTTAGAAGAAAACTGAATTATGTTTTTATTAAGTTGTAAGAGTTCTTTATATATTTCAGATAGATATCTTTTGTCAGATATACATATGAAAAATATTTCCTCTCAGACTGTGGCCTGGTTTTTAGCAGTCTTAGCAGAACATGTATTTTAAATTATAATATTATCTAATTTTCATCCATTTTTATCTTTTATGGGGTGTGTTTCTTTATTCTTTAGATCCTATCTAAGAAGTCTTTGTGTCCTCCAAGGTTATAAGGATACTCTTCTATTTTTTTTCTCTTAGACTTTATAGTTTTAGGTTTTACATTTGGTTTATGATCTGCTTTGCATGTTTGGCTTGAATTTTACTTTCTTAGGGAGAGACTTTTCCAAACTGCTGAGTCACTGTTGAGGTGACTTGTATAACAAGTTACCTCAAAACTCAGTGACCTGAACAACCATTTATTAGGCCATGGACCTTATGGGCATAGTGATGATGGCTTATCTCTGTTCCACAATGAGTTAGGAACTCAGGTGGAAGATTTGAAGGTGGAAGCTGGAATCATCTGAAGTTCACTCCTACATACTTGTAGAGAATGATGCTGGTTGCTGGTTGAGACCTTAGCTGAGTGTCAGCCATAATCTTAACACGGAGTAGTTGGACTTTCTTATAGCATGGAGGCTGCTTCAAGGGGGAGCCTCCAAGAGAGACAGTCAGGATGAAGCTGTGTATTTTGTATGACCTAGCTAGTCAGGCAGCATTATTTTTTCTGTCTTTTTGTGGTTCACTACTCCCAGCTCAACCAGGTTCAAGGGGGAGGGGAAATAGATTCAACCTCTTTCTTGGTCAGGGGCAAGATTCTAGAAGAGCATATTGGAATGAAAATATTGCTGTGAACATTTTCAGAAATGACAATCTACCACAAATTCTCAAATCATTAATTTATTTCTAAATGACATTTATCACAATGTAAATAATGTTTATTTAATTTCGGATTCTCTTATTGGACTGGTGATTCTAAACCTTGGCTGTACACTGGAATCACTCAAGGAACTTTAAAAAACATTAATGACTATATCCTACCTTTGGCAGATTTTGATTTAATTAGTTGGGGTGTGGACTGGTCATTGCAAATTTTAAGATGCCTTCCAGGTAAGTCCAAAGTATAGCTGAGGTTGAAAAACATTTCACTACACAGTGATGATTCTGCCTTATTCCTGTCTCGCACAGGGATTCCTGTGCATCTCTGTCTAGCACAGTGCCTACTACATTATAGGCAGTCAATAGTCTAAGTTCTATAAGTGGGTGAATGAAATAAAACCATGTATAGTCACATTTCTGTTCTTAAATGTAAAACTAAATATCGCAAGGTAATAAAAGACTGACAAAAGGGAAAAACTCACAGAATAAAATGTTAACTAAAAATATAAAACATAAGCCCTGGCTGGTGTAGCTCAGTGGATTGAGCACAGGCCTGCGAACCAAAAGATCGCGCTTCAATTCCCAGTCAGGGCACATGCCTGGGTTGCAGGCCAGTTCCCAGCAGGGGCCAGTTCCCAGCAGGCGTCACATGAGAAGCAACCATACATTGACATTTCTCTCCCTCTCTCCTTCCCTTCCAAAGATAAATAAATTTTTAAAAATCTAAAAAAAATAAAATAAAATTTAAAAAATATATAAAGCATAATGTTTTGTCAGAATAATAAAAGCCATGAATAGAAATTTTTACGAAATTAATTTTGAGCTTTAAAATGTAAATATCCCATGCCTAGTTAGACATTCTCCCCCCCTCAATTAACTCTTTAAGTGTTCATGTTATGGGTACTTCATATTATGGATTATGGGTAATCAATAACTTTATTTTGAACAAAGTACAATTACAAAACTATACAGCTTAAAATAACCTTAATAAATGCTAGTTTCCATATTTCATTACATTAAAACATTACATTTCCTGCAAAAAGTGACATCATAATAGGCATATAGATGTTTCTATAAATAAGCCTCCGAAGATGACCCGGGGACCTCTGCTCCTGGTATTGTCTGTGTAATTTTCTCACCTTTCACAGCAAAAGGCATTCTTCGGATATAACTAGGGTTATTGCTGGCTGACTTTAAGATAGGGAGATTATCTGTGTGAGCCTAATCTTATCACAGGAGCATTTTAAAATAGAGCTTCCTTGTGGCTGATGGCAGAAGAGAAAGTCAGAGATTCCAAGCTCAAGGACTGGACTTGGTGGCTTTGAAAATGGAGGAGCCCTGTGTAAGGACTGTAGAGCAGGCTCCTCGAGCTAAGAACCTCTGGTTGACAACCAGCAAGGACATAGGGACCTTGGTATCACAACCAAGAGAAGTAAACTTTGCCAACAAGCTGAATGAGCCTGGAAGCTGATTCTTTCCCAGAGCCTCCAGATAAGAGCCCAGCGGAGCCAACAGCTTAATGCTGACTGTGTCTTGACCCTAAGCAGCAAATCCAGCTGAGCCGACCCAAATCACACCAGAAGTGTGCTTTCATAAGCAGAGTGTGCTTTAATTATACTTTGTCAATAATTTTAAGGTTTTCACATCTCTTACTTTAAAAAAAAAGTTATGTGTAAAGAAGGAATTTTAAACTACTAAAATGAAATGAAATAGTGAATTTTCCTAGGAACTAGCAAATACTTGACTTCATACAAATAATTAACAAGGAAGAAAAAACACAACTATATGAGCAAAATTGTCAGGAACAGATAACAATTCAAAACTGAAAAGTCAGTTTTAGATTTGTTAAAGTACTTACTTTATCATTAAGCCTAGAGAAGTCAGTGTATCTTCTGAAAACTACCCAACTTTCTTCTGGGTTTTTCTTTACTAGAATTTTATATACCTGTGATTGGGAAAGGTTAAAAAATATGTAAAGATATTTAAAAATTCAAATCAAATACTTAAAAAATTTCTACTTGACAATCTAGAATGTAGCAATTATTATGTGAAAAAATATCAGAGATCATTTAGACCATGAAATATACAAATAATTGATATAGGCACCAAAAGCAAGATTTTTTTCTTAAGACACAAGACTATGACAAATTTGGGCCAAAATGCCTTTTTTGGTGCACAGGAACAATAAATAAACTTATCAAGCTTCCAAAATATATTTTATGCCACATACTTTAGAACTGATAAAAGAATCACTCATGCATGAAAAATAGCCACTTGTGTCCTACACAATCAATTTAATTTTTAAACTCAATACTACAAAGCAGTTTTGAATTTGATGATTTAATCTTCTAGGCTGAAATACAAGCTAAAAAATACGCACATTAGATAAAAGTTTACATTTCTGTAATTATGCACAATTATCTAGTCTATTAAATTTAAAAAAACTTGTCTGAATCATGTCAATATTTTTAAAAGTTTATAAGAAAAAAACTAGATTTTATTTTTATAATTATAATTTTAGAATTTATTAAGAGGATGTAGTATTTGTAACAGAACTGCAAAGCAAAACCGGTAGTTTCTGGTATAGCATTTTGGGCTAAGCTAAATACGTGGCATTTATGAAGTCCCTAACAATATTTGCTGCATGAGTGAAACTCTTAAAGAGCAACTTGTTTTCCTGAAGTCAGCTATGCAATAACTTTCAATTGTAGCAGTAGAGCTGCAGGCCAGCCACATGTGGCTACTAAACCTCTGAAATATGACTAGTCCAAATGGAGTTATGCTGTGACTATAAAGGGACTGCAGGCCATCTATACCATTAGATTCGATTTTTCTCCCTTATAGACTTCTCTTTCAGCTTTTAAGGGGGAGAATTATTAAGAGTTAAACATGAATCCGTGTAACATACAAAAACAAGGAAGACCATTTGGATACCCTCTAAAATATCCAGAAAGTCCTGATAATCATACCTTAGGTATGATTATCTAAGATAATCATAAGTGGGGTTAAAGATACTAGTATATGATAACAACAGGTACTCAAATATTAAATTAATGAAAAAATAAACACAACTAACCTCATATCTGTTATTTACCTCCTCTTCTATGATGTCTTGAAAGACTTTATATACTACTGCCTTAAACTTACCTATGAACTTGCATTTCACATATACCACCTTGATGAACACTCATTCCTTCAAAAGGAAGGCAGGTCAATGCAAGGAGCTGTGCCACTAGTGTGTTATTTTGAAAATCACTCTTAAAAAACGTCAGGTTCATTCAGATTTTTTAACACATCATCACTTATGATAATTTAATAGTAAAGTCTGTCTCTTCATAAATTTCTCAGTAATTTTTTACTTGGGCATCCTTCCATACTGTCCTAAGGGTGCAGCATGAAATAGCATAGACATATAAACTTGACCTCAAGAAAACACAAAGAACAAGCTATTTCAAATGATAAGTGAATTCAGCAAAGTTGCTAGATACATAAACATACAAGCCTGATATATTTAAACTAGCAAAGAACAAAGAGAAAAAAGATATCAAGAACATCAAACAACATCTATACTTAGACATAAATCTAACCAAAAGGTATAAGACCTATGCTCTGAAAATTACATTGCATCATTATAAAAAGCAAATGATTTAAGTATACAAACTAAGTTCACAGACTTCAAACTCAGTTTTGTAAAGATTAGTCTGTGTTCAATATAATCCCAATGAAAAGGGTCAAGAACAGCCAAGATAATTCTGAAAAATAAAATTAGAGTATACAGGCTGCCAGATATCAACACCTATGAAGAAGCTTTAATGATTAAGACTGTAGAATTGATAAAGGAGGGAAAAATGGAACTCAGAAACAGACCCATATATTTATGGTCATCTGATTTATGTCATAAGCAACAGTGTGAAGGCAGAGGAGAAAGAGTGGTCTTCTCAATAAAAATCTGATCACTTGTGTGAAAATGTGCCTTGACTGTTACCTCACACTATGGATAAAAAATCCCAGATGGTTTACAGATCTAAAAATGAAAGGTACAGCAATAAAGCTTTTAGAAGAAAACAGAACATTTTTTAGCGGGAGTAGGTAGATTTTAAAAAGTGCCGACCACATAAGAAAAAGTTAGCATGTACAAAGGACACATGGTCAAAGTCAAAGGGGTGCAGGATTGAGGGTGGGAGGTGGGGGTGAAGGACAGCGGTGGGAGGAAAATGGAGACAACTGTACTTGAACAATAATAAAAAAAAGACAAAGTTAATAAATTGGACTATATTAAAATTAAGAACCTTTTTTTAAATCAAATGCATCATTAAGGAAGTGAAAAGGAAAACCAGAGAATGAGATGATAGTCACCATACTTGTCCTAAAAGAAGACTTATTTCCAGATGCATAGAAAACTACAAATTAAAGTGGAAAAGGCTTGCTCATGGGAAAATTAATGAAGATCTTGAACAGACTCTTCACAAAAGAGATTATCCAAATGGCCAAAAATGTCTTCAATTTATTTAGTCATTAAAAATGCAAATTAAGACCACAATGTGATATCATTCTACCCATGAGAATAGCCCAAATCAAAAAAGATGGAAAAATACCATATATTAGGAAGGTGTGGAGTAACTGGAACTGTCATACACTGCTTACAAGAGTATAAATTAGTACAACCACTGTGGTACATTGTTCGTATCTTATAAACTTGGTATATGATCCAGTAATTTTATTCCTAGGCAGGTATCAACAGAAATGTGTCCAGGTGTTTAATGAGTGACAAGCACTAAAAGGTTCATAGTGGCAGTATTTGTAAGAGCCCCAAGTTGGAAATTATCCAAGTGCTCATCAACAGGAAAATGGTAAATATTCATGTAAAGGAATAGTATCAGTAATAAAAATGAGCTACCTACAATTACATGCAAGGTCAAGGAGTCTTAAAAACAAAATGCTAAAGAAAAGAGACCATACTCCATGACTCTATTTATGTAAAATACAAAATTAATGTAGGCTATCAGGAAAGCAGGTACTGACTGAAGGAGAGCATGGTGGTGGTTATGGATGCCAGTTATGTAGTTTCTTGATCTGTGTACTAGTTTCATAAGTATGTCGGGTTTGTGACAATCACTCAAGTAAGACAAAAGTTTACTACAATGGCAGAATTTAGAGTGTAAAAACCACTTGAATTCTATCTTCGAGAAATTACAAGTACAAGCTAACTTTAATCCATCTACCACAGGTAAAGAACTCAGCTGAGTCAATCTTCCACTTTCTAGTGGTGTGCAGCAAAAGTCAATACTCACAGTAAATTTAGCTCTTTCTTCCATCACCTCGTAACCTAAAATAGTAGGTGTAGAAGGCCTATCTTCCAAATTCACAGGTTCAGAATTTTGTTCTTCAGTTTCTCTTGGTCTAGTAGAATACTCAATGGAAGAATTTGCATTTGTAAATTTAGTCCTAACGAGGGGACTGCCATCCATTAGATCAGGTACACTTGTCTGTTTTAAGTTTCCCATATTTGAGTCTTCTAACTGGCCTTTGGAAGAGTTTGAGTTTGTTGATATACTCCCAAAAGAAGAACTTCTTTGGTTTCTGTTGGTTGTAAAGCTGGAAGAAGAGTTCCCTATGGGCATAGGAACTGGCACGTAAGGGGTTGCCATCTTCTTCCCGGCTTTGCAACAATCCTGCACAATGCTGTGTCCAAACACTTAAAGAGCAACTGATGGGCAATCCATTATTTTCTTCTTGGGAATTACTATCTAAAAATGAGAAGAACATACTGAAAGACTGGTCCTCAATCAGAAGCATTACCCAAAACAAAATACGATGTTCATATCCATTTAATTTTATGACACTCTATTCTTTTATCTGAAATGAAAACATACCTCAAATCTTTCTTTAATTGCAAAATATCATCTCTAAGGACTCTCATTTGCAAGGTAAGAGAGCAGAACTACATACTCTTTTTCTTAACACTCTTCCACTCTCCCTCTATTTCTCTATGATAGATTTCTGTAATGTTCATTTCAACCTTCCTCGGGTTTTATTTTCTGTTTATAGTCCTGGCAGTACTATATACAGCACAGGGAGGGAAGGAGGGAAGGGCAGGAAAATTATTCACATCACATTTTGATTCAATTAGTGAAACTCTAAAGAATCAACCAAAGGAAAAACAGTGAACCAGAAGTTTAGACCTACAAATAGCAATGCATTTGGAAAAAAAACTTGTCCAAATTAATCAAATAAAACCCAAATGGACATTAAACTTACTTCCAACAAGATGCAATGATTAAAAGTTTAAATGTTCTTCAATTTCCAGATAATCACTGATTCTGCGATATCATAAACTAAGGGTACTTAACAACTTTACAACTTATATACTCATAACTTCTGTTGTCAACAGGGCTAGTTTATCTATCTCAAAATAATTTTGTAATAATACGAAGAAGAAAAGGTTTACCACTAAGTTGTTAAGTAATAAACTAAGAAGTCGTATTAACTACAGACCAGTGACGTGACAACGTGTCTGCTTATCCAACTACATCTATATAATTGCGCCGGCGAAAAAAGCAGGAAATGAATAGCTAGCACTTGCAAAGATGCTGAAATAAGAGTTTTACCACAGCACGTGGCTCTGGGCAGTCTTCCCTATCCTCAAAGCCTCAAGATACATGATTCACCAGCGCTCCTCGGTGCTGTCTGAAGTCCCTGCCCGCCCCCCCGCCAGCGGACGGCCCCGCGCTCCGCCACGCGGTTACCTGAGGCAGCCGTGCTGGACGAGGATGCACCTCCCGCGATGCTACCGCAAAGGGGCGCTACCCAACTTACGGAAACAGGCTCAGCAGCAGCGTTTGTGCTTTCGCCCCGGAGCCCAGACCGACCCTAGAAACCCTCTGGCAGGTGCAGGGCTGAGCTGCGACAACACGTTGGGCGGCAGAAGTGGGCAATTAGAGAAAAGTGGGGACGCAAGGCGCTGGCTGCCTGCACCAGTGTCCGGTCGCTGGTTGAGCAGGCCGTGGGACTTGGGTTCGGCGAGCGTTACAACCTAGCTCCCGGGGTTCCTGCAGTCCCACGACAGTCGCACCCCCGCCTAGAACCCCGCAGAGTGTCTGCGGTGGCCTGGGGACTTTGCGGTGCCCCTCCGCCCGCTTCCCGTCAGCCAGCCGTGGGGCGCAGGTGTCAACGCTTGAGCGCCAGGGACAGCGTCCGCTGTCCTGCCCCTACCTGAGCCCACTCCGCCGTCCAACTTCGGTACGTTTCCAATGAAGGTTAAATCCGACCCACTTTTTCCGAAGCTCTCAGTCCCCACCCACACCGCCCAGTGGTCTCACATGTCCCGACACACTGAAAACAGCCGCTAGACGACTCAGCCGGCCTCGGCCCCTCCGCAGACCCTAGATCCCGAGCTATGAAGGGAGAGGTTGGGCGGGGCGAGCAGCGCTACCGGAAGTGACGGCACACGAGGGCACCGCCCCTGGAGGCTTCAGCTGGAGTTGGGACAGGGCTGTCTTGGCGGCTGGCTTGAACCTGCTTTCGTGGTAAGAATTCTTCTTTCTCGGCCTCAGCTTTATTTGTATAAATTTTGAGGCTACGGTACCTAGTTTTCCCAACAGGTGATGAGAAGGTGACAATTCCCAAGAGGAACTAAGGCCAATAGAGTTCAGGGCATCTGCTTTGCATCATGGGACTTGTAGTGTTCATCGGCTTGGGCTGGTTCTAATAGGTTATAGAAGGTTTTCCAGAATTAGCGCTTTAAGGGGTGGCAATCGATTCTAGGAGTAAGAAACGATAACTGCAGTGCAACCTATTTGTCCTACATAATTCACACATATTCATGGTCAGAGAATTGAAATTCTTCGGTGTTTGCTTGTTTTACAATCGGGAGCAATTTCATCCCAAATAATACAGTGTTAGGCTTGTTCGACAGACACATCTGAAAAACTAAGATTTTGGGGGAAAATCGTTCTTTGATAGTCAGATATCAAAGGTCTGTTTAACAATGGAAGTGTGCAATTTAATATAAATTTCATCTCATGATCTTCAAGACTTTGTAATATTCCCAAGCCTGGAAAAAATGGATAGTTATTTTATAATGAACATAGGAATCTAATCTGGCTTGTGGCATAATAATGATTTTGTTTGATAGTATTGTTTTTCCACTGTGAATGAGACATAAAAAGAGAATTCTATAGAAACAGTTGATAAAAACATGAGGTAGTTTTCAGGATAGGCTTGGCAGCCTTGCTCCTGAGATGGCATTTGTGTCACTGAGTTCTGTAAGTGAATAAGGAGAGAAAAAGAAAAAAACGAGCCTTGGAACATATCCATCAGTTGTGGACAGGGCTGTAGGTGGTAGCAAAAATGCCTGTGATGAGGAAAACCTGATAGTCCAATATGAAGGAAGTCAAGGAAGACTAAAGTTCCAAGAAGTAAAGGTGTACAGGTATTACAGGAGGAAGATAGCAATCTAGAAAAGATCATTGAAATTGTCCAAGAAGAACTTCATAGATTATTGAGAGGAACATACTATATGTATTCTTTATCTTCCAGAATATCTGCTTTTAACAAATGTCTGGATTTTACTTTCAGAAAATGAGCTAAATGTATTTTTTTAAATTAAAATTGTTTTAAAAGCTGTAATATAATTGACACATAACATTTTATTAGTTTCAGGTGTACAACATAATGATTCTATGTTTGCATGTATTGGGAAATGATTACAATAGGTCTAGTTAACATTTGTCATCACGCATAGTTACAGACTATTTTTTTCTTGTGATGAAGACTTAAAATTTACTCTCTTAGCAACTTTCAAGTATGCAATGCAGTATTATTAACTATAGTCACCATTCTACTTGCATATTACACCCTTATGACTTATTTATCTTCTACCTGGAAGTTGTACCTTTGACCCCCTTCACTCATTTTATTCACCTTCTACACCTTGCCTCTGGCAACCAGCAATCTATTCTGTTTCTATGACTGTAGTGTTTTGTTTTGTTTTTTAAATTCCACATATAAATGAGATCATGTGGCATTTGTCTTTCTTAGCCTGACTTATTTCACTTAGCATAATGCCCTCGAAGTTCATCCATGTTGTTACAAATGGCTAGCTTTCATTCTTTTTAGAATATATTTTATTGGTTATGCTATTACAGTTGTCCTGTCTTTTTTTCTGCCTTTTATTCTCCTCTGCCTTGCACCCTCCTTCCCACCTGCACTACCCACCCCCTTAATTCATGTTCATGGACCGTACATATAAGTTCTTTGGCTTTTACATTTCCCATACTATTGTTAACCTCCTCTTATCTATTTTGTACCTACCATTTATGCTACTTATTCCTTTCCCCCCATTCTCTTCCCTCCCCCTCCCCACTGATAACCCTTTAAGTGATCTTCATTTCTCTGGTTCTGTTCCTGTTCTAGTTGTTTGCTTAGTTTGTTTTTGCTTTCATTTTTTTAGGTTTGGTTGTTGATAGTTGTGATTTTGTTGTCATTTTACTGTTTATAGTTTTGATCTTCTTTTTCTTAGATAAGTCCCTTTAACATTTCATATAATAAAGGCTTGGGGATGATGCACTCCTTTAACTTGACCTTGCCTGGGAAGTACTTTATCTGCCCTTCCGTTCCAAATGATAGCTTTGCTGGATAGAGTAATCTTGGGTGTAGGTCCTTGCCTTTCATGACTTTGAATACTCCTTTCCAGCCCCCCTTACAAAAGATATGTAAGATATCTTTTGAGAAATTAGCTGATAGTCTTATGAGAACTCCTTTGTAGGTAACTGTCTTCTTTTCTCTTGCTGCTTTTAAGGTTCTCTCCTTATCTTTCATCTTGGGTAATGTAATTCTGATGTGCCGTGGTGTGTGCTTCCTTGGGTCCAACTTGTTTGGAGTCTCTGAGCTTCCTGGACTTTCTGGAAGTCTATTTCTTTTGCCAGATTGGGGAAGTTCTCCATTATTTTTTCAAATAAGTTTTCAATTTCTTGCTTCCTTCTCCTTCTGGCACCCTTATGATTTGCATGTTGGAAAGTTTAAAGTTGTCCCTGAAGTTCCTAAACTTTTCATTTTATTGAATTCTTGCTTCTTAATTCTATTCCAGTTGAATGTTTATTTCTTCTTTCTGGTCCAAACCATTGATTTGAGTCCTGGTTTCCTTCCCTTCTCTGTTGGTTCCTTGTACATTTTCCTTTATTTCACTTTTCATTGCCTTCATTTTTTGCTCTATTTTGCGACCATACTTAACCATTTCTGTGAGCATCCTGATTACTAGTGTTTTGAACAGTGCAACTGATAAGTTAGCTATATCCTTGTAGCTTAGTTCTTTTTTTTTTTTTTGAGTTTTGATGTGTTCCTTCATTTAGGCCATATTTCTTTGTCTCGGTGCAACTGTTAAGTTATAAGGGGGCAGTGCCTTAGGAATTCAACAGGGCCAGGGAACCCACATTGCTGCACTGTGTGTGGGTGAGGGGTATGAGAGGGAACAATGCTGTTTGCCCGGCTCTCGGCTGGCTTTCAGTCACTTTTCTGCTACCCATAAGCAAGTTGGGCCCTTCTGGTGCTGATTCCTGGGTGTGTGGTTTTGTGTATGTTCTAGGACCCTGTGTGTCTCCCCAGTGAACTTTCCTGTGAGGCTGGGAGTTTCTCCTGCCACCACACCCCCCACAGGGTTTTTCAGTCAGAGGTTTTGAGTAGGTTTTTCGCTCAGAAGTTTGGAGGCTTTATTTCCCTGTACTGGAACCCTGGGTTTTGCAGTCTATCTCACTCCCCAGTTGTTCCTCCTGGTATATACACATGCAAATGTGGGACCACATGCTCCACCAGCTGCTGCCTCACCTGCCCAGGTACTTCAGCTACCTTCTTGCTGCACATTCTTTCTGCCCCAGCTGCTCATCTCCACCTCTCCTATTGGTGTGGGTGAATGTTTCTTTAACTCCTTGGTTGTCGGACTTGCATAGTTTGATTTTATGGCAATTCTGGTTGTTTTTTGTTTTTGAACTTGTTGTTGTCTTTCTTTTTTGTTGTGCGAGGAGGTACAGTGTATTTACCTATGTCTCCCTAGCTTTCATTCTTTTTATGGCTGCATAGTATTTCATTGTGAGTTTGTGTATCACAATTCCTTTATCCATTTATCTGTCCTTGGACACTTAGATTGTTTCCCTATCTTTTCCATTTATTGACTATTGTAAGTAATGCTGCAGTGACCATGGGGTACCTGTATCTTTTCAAATTCGTGTTTTTCTTTTCTTTGGATACATACACATAAGGAGAACTGTTGGATCACATGTAGTTTATATATTTAATTTTTTGAGGAGCCTTCATACTGTTTTCCATAGTGGCTCTACCCATTTACGATCTTACCAGGAGTGCACAAACAAGGGTTTTCTTTTCTCTGTGTCCTCACTAGCACTTTTTGATAATAACCTTTCTAACAGATATGAGGAGATAGCTTATTGTGGTCTTGATTTGCATTTTCATGATGATTAATGACATTGAACATCTTTTCATGTATTTGTTGGCTATTGGTATGTTTCCTTTGGAAAAGTATCTATTTAGATCCTCCATCTGTTTTTTTTTAATTTAGTTTTTTTTCTACTGAGTTTTATATAGTTTGGATATTAACTCCTTATCACATGATTTTCAAATATGTTTTCCTCTTTAGCAGGTTGCCTTTTCATTTGTTGATGATTTCCTTTGCTGTGTGGTAGCTTTTTTGATGTAGTCCCACGTGTTTATTTTTCTTTTGTTGCCTTTGCTTTTGAAGTCAGATCCAAAATTCATTGCCAATACATATGTCAAGGAGCCTAACCCCAATGTTTTCTTCTAGGAGTTTTATGGTTTCAGGTCTTACATCTATTTTGAGTCAATTTTTAGTATGGTTTAAGATAGTAATGTAGTTTCATTCTTCTGCATGTGGCTGTGCAGTTTTCACAACACTATTTATTGAATAGACTGTCCTTTCCCCAGTGCATATTCTTGCTTTTATTTTTATTTTTTTGTGATCAATTTATTGACCAAATAGGTGTGGGTTTATTTCCGGGCTCCTGAACATCTTAATAATTTTGAAGGAGTATCCTGTGGTTGTCAGAGTAAAAGTAACATTATCACAGCTGATGTCATATGGCTAGTCTCCATGTATGCAATATGTATATATGTAGTTTGCATATATATGTATACACGTATGTGTATGTGTGTAAATAAAAATTTGGGCAATTAA